TATATATATATGAGAAAATTTATATTAAATCAGAATTAATCATTTATACGTCAAGTCTTTTTACCTCGACTTCTATAAATTACAGATATAATCGTTTTCTTTTTAAGAGTCGAGATATAATTTTTTCAATACATATTTCACATCTTTCATGCTGATTAATGCTGATTCGTTTTACATGTCTCATTTTACGCAAAGTCTTTATTGTACATACATAGTAAAAATTGCGTACAAAAATAATCTCGGTGTACGGTAGGTCATTTTATATACACTTAAGTAAAATCGCAAAAGCGCAATACCTATATTTTTATAGCTATATGTCATAACAAAACAGGACGGCGCGTATCACACGCTAACATCGCGTTCACTCTCTGTCATTCATAAAGATAAAACGCGGTGCAGCTTAAAAGTCGTGGATAAAAGTTACATGTGTGGTTAATTAACGAGTGACATAATATACTGTGGTACATTTGTACTAAGGTGTATTGTTCTTAACCTTTTCTGTTGCATTCAATCATCTTCCTGATTTACTTCCGGATACACATAGAAAAAAATGCATATAACATTTTCATTAGAAAAATAGCCAATATTCTCTGAGATGTATTTAAGATTAATTCTATCGCACGTCTCATGAGCTTATTTTACAAAAGTTTCTAAAATTCCTAGAAAAATCTTAAAAGATAAATGAAAAATACTTGAGCAAGACAAAACTGAGCTGCCATTCGAAGCTACTAAATACACAATATAAAAGATCAAAGAATCATTCTTTATCTCAGTTATTAAATTTTTCGTACTCGACAAAAATGAGTAACTAATAACTTTTATAAAATGCGAATTAAAAATTATTCACTACAATAAACGATAAAAATATTTCATAAAAATATACTTGTGTGTGTGTGCAGTCAATTTTTGATTATTAAAGTTGAACAAAAAGTTTCACTTGAATTAAAGAGTCATTTACTACAAATTTTTGGTGCTCGGATGAAAGGAAATTCGTTTGTTCCAGAGTTTCGGAACCGGTGAGAGGACCTGTTCCAGAAATAAATGTCTCTTCTCCTTGAGATTAAAACGCACGCTGCACAACGACCTGTCGTTCTTATCGTCTCTTTCTATGGTCCAAGCACGTCTGTCATGACTATCACTGTTATCGTACATCATATTGTTGATTCGCCTGATATTGTTGTTCGACGTGATCGGCGCCAGATTCTCCTTATCCGGCGATTTCTCCGATCTTGTAGGAAGACTGTTTCTCTTGGCGGAAATTTCCGTCTCTGTAGTTTTCTCCTCAGCGAGCCGGGTCTGGCAAGAATTCTCGCCGTTTTCGACGGACACCAGGGGATTCATCTCGACATACAAATCGCTCTCGTTCGTGTCGAAATCGTCCTTACGATCCGCGAACGTGACTTGCCGCACTAGCTTGCTTGCTCTGCTGCCGAGAACCGGCGAATCCGACAGAATAGCGTCTATCAAGGGCGTCTTCTTGATGGATTCTATCGCGCAGCATCGGACAAACTCTCTGATCGCGTCTATCTCGCGTTTCTCGACGTCTCGCGCAGTTAGATCGACCGGACCGACTGTCGTTGACGTATTCTTGAGATCGTTGTCGAACAGCACTTGGGCGAAGCGCGCTCGCGCCATCAAGTTTTTAGGATTCAGATCCTCCCACTGAGTCTCGGTAATGTGATAGACGTGTCGCGGCGAGTTCTCCCCCGTATACCGCCTGATTTGGTCTATCGTACTTACGAGGGTGCTCGCAGAATCACGCGATGGTTCTATTCCGTGCGGAAACTTTTCGTCCGACGAATCGTCGTGCTCTTCCAATATTGTGTCCAGCGCGAGCATGCCGCCCCGATCATCGATCACTACCGGCTTGGCGACGTACAGACTGGCGTTCCGATCATCCACAGTGGATACGGAGAACGCGTTGTCGCCGTAAGACGATTTAGATTCTTCCTTAGATTCTACCAGATCGTAAGTCAGGGCGTCCGCATAATCGTCCTGCTTTAATGTCCCTCGCGAAATCATGCCGTCGGAATATTCCGAGCTGTATGTCGTGCCGGTTGTACTCGTCAAAGTATCACGCCGTCGATCACGTACCACGCTGTCGTCGTGGATGTACGTCTCGATGTCCGTGTAGCCTTTCCAGCTGCGGATGCACCATGGCGGTCTGGCGATTCCCAGTGGACATACGTTCTCGTAGTCATGGATCGACGTCACACAGCTCATCGTCTCGTCCCGTTGTTGCTGCTCGAAAAACAATGTATATGAAAAAATTAGTATAATGTGTATCATAATATAATAATATAAAATAACACGTATAAAATAAGAAATAATAAATTTAAGAACTGAGCTACAAGTTCTTGACTACCTTTTCTATATCGAATATCCTGCCGCTCTCTAACGGCGTCGGGGTCGTCAATTTTCCCCTGTTCTTGATAACGTCCAATGCACCGATCATCTTGCTGGAGCAGGAATTGAACGAGAGAGAATCGTTCAACTCAGAGTTATTGAGCTTGCCAAGCTGATTGAGCAAGTCAATGCTCAATATATCCGGCGCGCGCCAGTCCAATTGCGGCGTGATATCGTGTTCGTAAATGCCGTGACGTTTACGGGACGAGTCGATATCGAGCAAGCCCGGATATAGGGGCGCCGGGCTGCCGGTGCGCGCGTTGTCCGGATTATCATTCGACGCAATCTCCTCCTTGTGTTTGCCGCCGATGCGACTGTGCGGCCTCTCGCACTCGGTGGAAACGCGCACGACACTCGCATTGGACTCGTTCTCCGAGCTGTAGTTGCGATTCACGATGCCCTCCTCCGCGCAATCGGAAATTTGCGCAATATTCGTCAGCAGAGACTGCTTGTCGGTAGCCACCTCCCCCTCCTCGGTCCTCGGCGATATGTCGATGGAGTGGTGCAATGACACTAGGGAACCGCGATGGAACAATTTGAAGGATTTGCTGGGAGTTTCGGTTTTGGCAGTATTCGTAGTGTGCGAGTGCTCGTTGATATTCCGGGAAACGCCGCTCCTTATCATCATCCTCGAAGGATGAAACTTGCCGTAGTACAACGACATGCTCATCAAACCGACGAGCATACCGCCGATTATCGCGGACGCTATCGCAATTATTGTATCACTCGCAATCGTGTCCTTAAAATGCAACGCGTACATAGTGAGGAGGATCAGGTTCTGTGCCACGATCACCGTATAAAAGACGAGTACGCGATAACGCGATCTGCCCTCGCGCAAATTGAAAAAATCGAAGCAGTAGATCAGACCGATGATGCAGTTGTAGATGCGCTCCTCCCACACGGTTGGACAGAACTCCGTTTTCTGTAGAATCACCCAGATCGTCATAAACAGCCAATGCAGACCTGCAAGATACAATAATGTAATTCAGTATTTTTCACGTTGAAACATTTATTAGCTCAATATGTGTTTCAATTTACACAGCAGAGACTCTAAATATAAAATAGACTACTAAAATTCTATTTTTTACAGAAACTAACTTTATTTTGATGCAGATATAAATTTTTTCACAAATAAATCATAATTATTTTATATTTACTATTTTCTATGCATATTTTCCTATTATATTTATATATTGCAATTATACATATACGCTAACTTTGCCTCCTCTTCGTTGTTATTCCTATTGGAGGAACTTACCCAGAAACAAAAAGAACCATGCTCTCAGGAAAACAGCGGCTAACACAAGAACCCCGATTCTGGACAGCAACATACCGCCGCGCCACAGAGCCTGAAGGACGAGAGCGACCCAGGTCACGCTGCTGCGATCGCGATTGATATTGTGCATGGCCCTAATGTACGTACTCACGGCCCATATCAAGGAACAGAAGGAAGCTATAGCCGACGCGCCTGTGAAATAAAAAATGTCACACATATATATAAAATTCATAAATATATAGAATTTAAAAATATGACATTGGGCTCGTCATAGAACGAAATCTGAAATTGAATCTTAATCTAATTCTTAATGTAATGTCCTTGATATCTCCAAAGAAATATATAAGAGAAAGAATGTATATATATAAAAATTATTATATTATATAATCGATTAATATTCATTAAAATTATTATAATATAGATATTACATATACACACTATAATATATATTAGATTAAGGAGCAGGTAAATAAGAAAGTGTAAGAAACTAATTTTTTTTTTTTTTTGTCATGGCAAGTCGCTGCCTTTCTTTCGACTTCTATTTTTGAATACGCTTCGCTTCGCGCTTCGTCGCTTTATATTTACAACCGAAGAGGACACCAGAGAGAGTCCCTCATGTCTCGTGGCACTCGAGTTGTCGCGCATTGTTTTCCAGAGAAACAGATAACGGCTGTCAGCGATAAACAGTCAGGATTCTTTCCGCCTTCCTGCTATCTACCCTGGGGGCGGGGAACACACGAGGGAAGAGAGCTGGAATAATAGCGCGTCCTTCCGCGGCGGATTCGCAGATATTCTTTATATTCCAGGCAGGCTCAGCATCGGTGGTACAGTGATACAACATACTCTCGGCAGCGGTGTTTCTCGGCGGTTGTATTCGCGACTAGATTTACTTTGAAGTAACTTACACATGTAACGGAACAATCCCCGAGATGATACATAAGTCAACGATCGACGTGTCAACTCTGAACGACAATGAAAATTTAACGATTTATCCGCGATTATTAAAAACTGGCTCTTATCACCTCGCGAAAAGAATATTTTCCTTGTTGCAGGTACGTAGTGTATACAGAGTGTTCCAGGTATCAATTTTTCTACAATAAAGTAAAAAGGCTAAAAAAAGATAATAAAATAAATCCAAGAGTGTTATGTGAGAAAAAATAATTCCATTAATTACAGAGACAAATCACGGTGATAAAATTGATCGTACTGTTAACGATCATCTGCATTGTTATATTGTTAATATTGGCAAATTTAACGCAAACTTCGTACACGAAGACAAACATAGAATCGGCCGCATCGCTGAGGTATGCGACGCCGAAATACGCGTCTGAAATAATAATACCGCGAGTAACGATGTCGAGAAATCAAATGGAGGATATTAAAAGAGAGCTGGAGAGCAGAAGACGGGGAATGGCATGCATGTGTGAAACAATTGACGTGAAGGAATCGCGCTTAGACGCCGCGTTGACCAACATGATCATCGACACGTAAGTGAAAGATGCTGAAAAAACGGAACTTTTTTTTTAAATAAAATCCATTTTAATAAATTTTAATTAAGATATACTTTGCCTTTATATAAGAAAATTTAGATCTATAATATATATTTATCTTAAATTACACACAAAACCAGTTTATTTTTATAAATAAATTATATATATAATATTAATATAAAAAATAAATATGTAATTCACGAAGAGATTAGAAAGAAGTAATCAAACTGTTGTATAAGAACATGAAGAAATTGAACGATAATCGAGAATTTGATTCAAAGGGAGCACAACGTGTCGTGGTGCCCCATATACAAGGCGGCGAGTTCTACATGGATGATTTACTTTGCCGCGTTGAAAGGCGCTTTGACGGACGTTACTATGGATTTAATACGACGCAATCTTGTGCAAGTCAGTGATATTGTGAGACAAAAGTTTCGACACGACGAGGATTTTAATAAGACCTATGAGGTGAGGAATACACTGTTAATCCTTTATATGTATAAGACTGCACAATTTTGATCAATCATAAAATAATGATTATATACTCGTATATCAAAAATGCAATAAAAATATATATTAAATATAATAAAAATTATTAATACAATATGAAAATAAAATAATATAGATATAAATTAAATGTATATGTAAATAAAAACATAAATTATTAATAAAATATTTAATACAATAAAAAGTGTATTAAAAATGTATGCATGTAAACGTATATCCATCAAATTAATTATTAAGTATAAAATAATTTTACAAAAATAGAGAAAAATTAAATACAAAATAATTTTATACAATAAGAAAATAAAATATGAACTTTAATTTAAAATCATTTCTTAATTTGTCCCATAAATGATTAAACGAATAAAACGTAATCGACAAATCTAAAACTCGCGAATACGTGTTCAATTTTCAGAAGGTAAGCAAAACTATGAGATTCCTGATCGTGCGAGATCCGCTGGAGCGTCTCTTGTCCGCGTATAGGGACAAGTTGGAGCATATGCAGGGCCGCGAATATTATTACAAACGCTTTGGACGGCGCATCGCGCTCAAATATCGCCAGCCCGGTGACAACGCGACGAGATTAGAGCCGACGTTCGCGGAATTTTTGCGATTTATAGCCAACGAGAGATACTTCGACGAGCATTGGGCGCCGTATTATCGCACTTGCGAACCATGCGCGCTCCATTACGACTACATATTGAAGATGGAGACCTTGGATCGAGATATAAACTTTCTCATACAGGATACCAAACTGAGCGACTATCTCTACGAGATGAAATATCCGAGAAACATCAACCCTCACGGCGCGACCACTAAGAAATTACTCGACGAATACATCACAAGGATACCGCGGTCGCTTCTCGATCAGATTTACAAAATCTACGAGAACGATTATAAATTATTCAACTACTCGTTTATATAATACGTCACCTGTTTCATTTTATATAGGCAGCTTGTAATTATTGTGAAGTATTAAATAAATGCAGAGAATATTAAAATTTGCAGAAATTTTTCTCTCAAACATGATATAATATACAATCTTTTTAAATTATTTTTTGTCCCTTAAGTATTCTTAGAGAGAGAATTTATATACATATTTTATATTTATTAAATATAAATAAAATACGATATATGTATATACAGTTTTCTTAGATTTTAAATTCTTTTCAAATTAAGTAAGCATACGTTCAGGCAATGCAAAATAAAAGAGGAAAAACTATAGAATATATATAGAAGATGCAAAAATAACAGATACATATGTTTTTCATTATGCATATGTAACATTATATACATAAAGTATAGAATAAAATAATATTTAAAAGCTGTCAACAAATAATAGATAGTACTCACTCGTCCAAAATGGAGCGTGATATAATGTTGCAATAATGTACAACTGTAGTATCAACTGTGGCGTAGCTCCCATAAATGATTCAAACAAATGCAACATACATATATCGCTTTCTTGTCGATACACCCAATCCTTGTCTCTGCTGAAGCTCGACTTATTTCTCAAAGAGTGCATTGCAGTGTAAAGCAACGTCAAGTACCTGAAAACAAATATATAAATGGATAAAATAGCTAATTTAATAAATATATGTATAATTATATTTACATAAATTTACAAAACTCTAACAATCTGGTTGATAATCTGGCTAAAGAGATTGTGCAAAAACATAAATATCAAATACCTGTGCAAAAAGCCGAGTAGCAAGAAGTGCAATAACCAGTGAACAGTCCGCAGAGAACCGTCGCTGCGATGCCATCTCAAACTAAATAGTTGAGTAACACAAGCGGGTAAGATGGTGAAACCCATTGCAAAGCATCCCCACGCTGAGCGGCCTTGCAAAAGGTATTCCACACATACAATGCTGTCTGTGTGTGCGAAAAATATCTTACAAAGTGTTCACTATACAAAAACAAAAGCTTTCCCACTAATGCAAATTTCTACAATTGCATGCTCTGAGTACACAAGATTTATCATAAATATCATCATCATATGACCAATGTCAAATGATATTAGTATAAAAAAGAACATTGCAAAGACGCTAATAAAAGTTATCATAAATGTATATTGTCACAATCATCTTTTGCTGCTATTTTGTTTATTGTTTCTATTATATCCTAAAAAAAAAAAACCTTGCTATTTAAATCTATATTTTTATCGCCTTTATATTCAATATTTTCTTTCTATTGTATAACTATAATAAATATAAATATAGAACTTTTAAAAAGAAAAAAAGGCTACTATGTGTTTCTCTTAAAAGAGAAAAAAAAATTTGCGATACTTTTAATTAGCGTCGTCGAAATAAACATCTTAGAGCTGACATAAGCATATACAAGGTGTCCCGCAATTGACGATCTTAATTCTAACGCGAAAGCGTGCGGTTAAGCAATGACAGGATAATCGAGAAAGTTGATATTATTTATGACAAAAATATTTACAAATTGTCAATGTTACACATATCTCTCTGCAAATAAAATTCAATTTAACATTTTAATAATAAAATTCATACACAAAACTAATCGAGGAGATTTGACGCGAGAAGTCTGTCAGTTCAGAAACTTGACACTTGTCATCGAGATCGCAAAATCACGGGACACCCGGTGCATGCGTTTTACGTGCGTGCTGGGGAGCACTCTTTGTTCACCTGTTGCTACGTCCGCGAAAAAGAAACTGACCGAAAGCGCGTAGTACAGCAGGTCGACGATGCGGAATCGGTAACGCTCGAGCCGCCGTCGCGGCGCAGTCGCGTCCGTCTTCTCCATCGTCGTCGTCGTCGTCGTCGTCACGTCCTCGCCGCACGGAACGTTGACGCATCTCGCCCTGTTCGACTCCGCCGCCGCCATCTTCCCGCATCCTCGTCATTCGTCACCCGGCGCGACGCCGGACGCCGGACGCCGGCCACTCTCGCGATATCGGGGCGCGCTCGAATCTCCAATTCGCGCCCGATTCGAGCACCGCTTTCCCCGCGCATGCGCGACAGCGATGTACGCGCGAAACGCGAGAGTCTCGATGGAAAGAACGCGTCGAATCGATCGAGATCAATCAAAACGAATACATGATAATGTAGCGATATTATTTTTTCATCTACTGCTTCAATTTTGCGCGGAAGGTGAAAAGAAAAACTCGATTAATTTTTAAAACTACGCTATGTGGGGCCCCGAACGAACGTTTCGCTGACGCGGCGCATGCGCGAGACACCGAACTCTGATTGGCTCGTACCATCGTGCTTGTTTCAAGGTTGGCCAACCTGAAACGTGACAGGGACGTAGAGCGACGTCGGAATACCTCGGGGTACCCCACGGGGGGCCCGGCACCCCAAGTGTAACGACGTGCGTAGCGCCTGTCGAAAGTGTGGTTCAGTCGAAGGGCACGGGGCACGAGAGTGTTCCTGTCGGAGGGCCTGGAGGGCCGCGAGGCCTCGAGTCCTCGGGGGAGCCGCAGCAGACGAGTTCGACAACCGTACGTCGTTGATTTTACGATGAGGCGGGTCAACGAGACGGCATTGGTTTTCGGCGAGGGACCGAAAAACATGGCGAGCCTCAATGACTAGACGTTGTATGCGTATAAAAACTGTACGCGCTATCCGTCGCGAGAGTCATTATTGTCTCTGTCATCGTCCTTGTAATGATCCGAACCCAAAGGGACGCATGCGCGACAGCGATGTACGCGCGAAACGCGAGAGTCTCGATGGAAAGAACGCGTCGAATCGATCGAGATCAATCAAAACGAATACATGATAATGTAGCGATATTATTTTTTCATCTACTGCTTCAATTTTGCGCGGAAGGTGAAAAGAAAAACTCGATTAATTTTTAAAACTACGCTATGTGGGGCCCCGAACGAACGTTTCGCTGACGCGGCGCATGCGCGAGACACCGAACTCTGATTGGCTCGTACCATCGTGCTTGTTTCAAGGTTGGCCAACCTGAAACGTGACAGGGACGTAGAGCGACGTCGGAATACCTCGGGGTACCCCACGGGGGGCCCGGCACCCCAAGTGTAACGACGTGCGTAGCGCCTGTCGAAAGTGTGGTTCAGTCGAAGGGCACGGGGCACGAGAGTGTTCCTGTCGGAGGGCCTGGAGGGCCGCGAGGCCTCGAGTCCTCGGGGGAGCCGCAGCAGACGAGTTCGACAACCGTACGTCGTTGATTTTACGATGAGGCGGGTCAACGAGACGGCATTGGTTTTCGGCGAGGGACCGAAAAACATGGCGAGCCTCAATGACTAGACGTTGTATGCGTATAAAAACTGTACGCGCTATCCGTCGCGAGAGTCATTATTGTCTCTGTCATCGTCCTTGTAATGATCCGAACCCAAAGGGATTCGTATTCGTTGACGCAGTGTCCGTTAATCGACGTTCGATCGAAAAGGTTCGATCGAACTTAACCTTCGACGAGTTCAAGTTTGAATATCGAAGATATACTTTCGCGAGTGCTCTTTTTAAAGAGATATCCTCTGAAAGGAAGAATATAAAAACGTTAATTATACGGGAGACGTTCCATTAATTCGCTCCGAAAGAATAAAAGTTTACTTACCTCTGTAGTTATTATACGAGTGTTATATACAGTTCATTTCTATCAAAAGTAAGTTGTAAATGTAAGAGATACAATTTTGTGCTCGATGAACCACTTGTAAAATCTGCAACAAACGATTGAATAGAATAACACTGACATATACTATCTCTCCACGCAATATATAATTAATATTTATTGTAATATATGAAAAAATCATTCATATACATCTGAAATAAAAATTATTACTTTAAGAAAAATACAGGAATTTATTAAATGCATAATTTTTACTTGGTAAATTATCCAAAAAAAAGTACAAATCATATTATAAACGTATTGTAATATATTGCATATATATAAAATATATCGTAATATATCAGACACACATGTATATTTCAGAGAATTAGAACAAAAGTGTTGGGCAACTGATCATGTGTCAGCATGTATAGCTTCGAGGGAGATTACAGGCGCAAGCCGCAACAGAATCTAGCAGGTGCCAGCAGGAGAGATGAGAGGACTGTTCTCCTGCAGCACGCGCAGTTGGAAAGATTAAAGAGAGAGCAGCAGCGCAAGAAACATGACGCAGCATTGAAGATACAGGCGCTCGCGCGCAGCTTTGTCACCAGGAGACTGGTGTGCGCGCAGAAGAGAAAGGAATTTGATGAGGCGCAACAAGCGGCGGGACGTAGAAACTTGAGTCTGGACGAGCTAGTGCCCTATCTAAGAAACCTGCTGTTTTTTTACAATCACGTTTTGGATGCCAATAGACTGATATGGGTCCTTCAGCACTTTCTTAAGCATCAGAGGGACGTTAAATTGAAGTCGATAAATTCATCGCAATGGTTGTGGAGATTGCGGTAAATTATTAATACAAAACTTAGTCACAAAAAAAGTATTAAGTAGAAGAAACATTAAATTTATAATTGTTCCATTATTATTGCCTGCAATTTATATATATATATATATATATATATATAGCGATATATATAAATCCATAAAAGTCACAAAAAAACACTACATTAAAGTAATTAAAAAATAATAATTTAATAAATAACAATGCATATTATTATATGGTTTATAAAGAAATAAATTTATATGAAATACATAATAAAATCACACAAAAATTATAGAGATAATAGATGACAAGATATTTTAAATAATATAAATTCAATACAGGTGGGTCCTTCGCATATGTATGCGATACAATACAGAAACGCTACCAGACGGAGCGTACTCCTTGGCAATACCGTTGCGTGTTTTGGAAGTATTTACCACGCGAGAAGAAACGGAGAAAGTGTTGCGCGAAAACAGTTACTGGTATCTGGAGAGTATATTTGTTTACCTGATTCAACACAGCTACTTTGAGCAGTTAAGGAAGCTACTGGACGCGAAAGTGCCGCTAATGGTGGAGGCAACGTCAGTCGCGCCCACACCAATCTCCAAGTGTCTACTTGACATGATCAAACGACCAGTGGACTTAATCCCTTACGTGAATCGCAAGGAGGACTTTTCAACGCTTGTGCTCCGGGAACTGTACAAGAGTGTGTTTTCTCCCAGACTGTCTGATCCGATTCGCATGTTCGTTGTGCCAGCGTTGGCAGAGTTCAAAGACTTTCCATATGTCCAGCTGATCGTCTGCATCAATCGACTCCAACTGGAACCTACGATAAACCTACTCTACTGCATTCTGTCCTTAGATTCATTGAATCAATTTTGTAAGTAAGATCAAAAAGATCTATTATTCTTGTTATTAGCGCCTAGGTTTAATCATAAAGATATGTAGATGAAGCGTGTCGTTCAAAACTTCTCTTTTTTTATAAGATTAAATTATTTAAAAATTATTACGTTACTTTTTATTCTCATATAGTTTTTTCTTATAGTTATTAATGTAATTTTTCTTATACATATGTGTGTAATATAATATTTTTTAAGCAAATTAATTTTGCAAATTAACGCAAAAATTAGTCGAGAACCATTCATGTGTTTTTTTTTTGTAGCATGGTGCAAATCCGAGGATGCATTGACGAACTATCTGCAAGTGCTCGCGTCTCTGAGCTCGACTATTGTAATGGTAGAGCAGAGTGTCTCGGAGCAGCAACAAGCCGACAATGACTCGGATAATGAATCCGACGGAAACATGACCGATCAGGAGCAGGCTGATATTTTGCGGAAATGCATCGAAATGTTGAACGAGCAGCAGCGTGTGAACTGTATATTGTCGACGATCGAACAGAGCCGGTCGGATCCTGCCATACTGTTGCAACCGCTTTGCCGATTATGCCACCACCTGCTCATCATCAACAAGCTTGCTGTTCACAAGTACAAGCTTCTCTACATGCTCGCCTTCAAGCCAATGTTCCTCAAACATTTGTGGACGAGCTTGGCGTCAATCCGTCAAACGTCATTGTTTGGCGGTAGTGGTGCCGCCGCTACGCCCTTGTTGCAGATCATATCGCGCGGGATCGCTCTCTCCGCGGAGGACACCGACAGGATAGTCCCTTTACTGGCGGTTTTCTGCTCGCTGTTCAGCCTGCTGATCGCGACGTTGCACGACACCGAGTTTTTCCTCGAGCAGAACAACTCCGCGGAACAAACGTTCAACAATCGGCAACAGCACGCTATGCCGTTCACCATCGCGGAGTTGGCGGTGATATCTGGCCATCTCAAGGGTATCTGCCTAGGTCTGGTAGAGCTCGCGTTTCCCGATACTCGGCCCACAGTGCGAGACGACTATAAAAACGCCGTATTGGGCCCCACATCTGCCGTTCAGTGCCGACACGATACGCAGATTTGGACCCACCTGTTCAAGGTATCTCACAATGTTTCTGATATTAATCTTTAATTTAGGACGATTATTATTTATATAAAGTATTCCATAAATAATGTTTTCTAATCTTTTTATCACATTTTTAATCGACGTTCTTCGGCAAATTTGCATTTGATTTTTTATCAACGAAAAATAACCAAAGTTTTATAATATTTAAATAATTAATAATTAAAAATAAAGTATTTTTGTATTTTGTATTTATCCTATTTAAGGTTACGGTGGGTCTTCTACGTCAATTGCACACGCGGGATCTCAGGCGGCAGTTCTGTCCGGCAAGCCACTGGATCGCATCCAATGTTGTCATTCCTATTGATAAGCCTCAAGACTTTGCGTTCCGTAGACGTCGACTTCGCGGATACGTGCCCTTCCAGAGCCTGAGGGCATTTACGAGAGAGGAATTCGAGGAAGGGCCACCTCTATCGGCAACGGAAGTGCGAACGCTGACCTTGCTACGCGAGATACCGTTCGTAGTGCCGTTCAACAATCGAGTGGTCGTGTTTCAGTCATTAATCTACAAGGACAAAGCGGAACAGCAGGGTGAGCTCACACATTTCATGCAAGGTCCATCAATACAAATCTCCGTGAGGCGAAATTATCTTTATGAGGACGCCTTCGAGAAACTGTCGCGTGAGAACGAACCGGAATTGCGGCTAAAGATGCGAGTGCAGTTGGTCAATACCGCGGGACTGGAGGAAGCCGGCGTCGACGGTGGCGGCCTGTTTAGGGAATTCTTGTCCGAGCTGTTAAAGACTAGCTTCGATCCTAATCGCGGTTTTTTCAAGCTCACCAAGGATAACATGCTGTATCCGAATCCCACTGTGCATTTGTTGGTTGATGACTTTCCGAAACATTACTATTTCATCGGCAGAATTTTGGGGAAAGCGTTGTACGAGAATCTACTAGTCGAGTTGCCATTCGCTGAGTTCTTTCTATCCAAGATCGTCGGCCGCCGGTCCGACGTAGATGTGCATCATCTCGCCTCCCTCGATCCCATCATGTATCGCAATTTGCTCTACCTAAAGAGCTACACGGGTGATGTGGCGGATCTCAACCTGGATTTTACCGTGCTCAGCGACGAACTGGGCGAGAGACGAGTCGACGAGTTGAAGCCGAGCGGCACAAATATCCCCGTGACGAATCACAATCGCATCGAATACATCCATCTGATGGCCGATTACAAACTGAATAAGCAGATTCGCGCGCAATGTTACGCGTTCAAGCAGGGAATCGGCAGCGTAGTCCCTCTCGATTGGTTGCAGATGTTCAACAACAAGGAGTTGCAAGTATTGATATCAGGCGCGCAGATTCCTGTAGACGTCAATGACCTGAAGCTGCATACGAACTACACCGGCGGATACGCGGCCGATCATCCGACCATTACTGCCTTCTGGAAAGTCGTCAGCGAGTTTAACGATCAGCAGAAGGGCCAACTACTGAAATTCGTCACTAGCTGCAGCCGCCCTCCTCTTCTAGGATTTAAGGTATATATTTACTATATTAAAATTTTGCTACACAAAATTGGTTGGATTTTGTTTTAGAAATTTGAAATTATTATTCAATTCGAAAATGATTATTTTAAACCTCATTATAACATCATGATGTATAATTAAGTTCTAATTGCATTATATTATTGAAATAAAATAATAATATACTACAATTGTATATTAACATCCGTATATATTAAAAGAAATATGTAATTACAATGATTTTTCGTCAACTTCTCATTCATAGCACATTCTGATTATAGGAACTTGATCCGCCGTTCTGCATCCAGCATGCCGGCAGTATGGACCGTTTACCGACCTCGAGTACCTGTATGAATCTGTTAAAACTTCCGGAATTTCCAGACGAAAAAATCCTGCGCGAGAAACTTCTATACGCGATACAAGCGGGCGCAGGTTTCGAACTCAGTTAGAGACCTCCAATTTTGGCTTCCAGCGACTCTGTTTGACCCAATAATACAATGTTGCCCAGTGTAAATACATGTGTAATTAAACGAATATATCGCGTATAAAAAAAGAGGAATTGCCGTAGAGATATCGTTTTGCATATCTCTGTGGAACAGGGTCAAGAAGACGCAGATTTTCAAAGATTTTTTGGAGAGAAACGCGCTGAAGATATTAATATTAACAGGAGGGGCCAACTACTAAACTATAGTATCTACCTACTGGAGATCATTACCGACTTTGATGCAACTACAACGTTTGTAAAAAAAAAAAAAAAAAAGAGAAAAGAAGCGTAACGTATGTTGGAGCGCATACGGATATTTTGTTCGGTTTCGACTTTTCCTACCACCTTTGGCCTATAATTGTAAATTATGTATATTCTTATTGTTTTATATATTCATCATTGTGTGATGTGTCCAAAACAACGACTGTGCTACTTTATTTCAAATGTACGCGAGAGAATAGATGTACGTATTTATGAGATATATATTGTTAAGTCTGTGTAAATAAAATATCAAAGCGTTGGAGAAAAGCGTATATATTATTAAAAAACGACATTTGTGGATATCCTCGTACTAACCTATTATTTTATTTATGATGTATCGATTTATAACTTGAAACACTAATTTTAACATTACTTTTCTTTTAAGTGTTAATATATGCACAATGCCAATCTCGAATAATTAACGCTGAGCTGTTAAAATTTAATTTTCAATTATCTCATAACAATCGCGAATATTATCGTTACAAAAACAGATAAACTTAACTTTGCCAGAATAAACGAAGGATTACTAAAATATTGCATTTTTTAATATTCATAATTTTGTCCAATTTATTTTATAATCTCTTATTTTAATTGTAAATTCTAGGAGAAAGAGAATGCAATCTCAAACAATAGTTTGCCGTAAAAACCATTTGTTTGAAAATCCATTCGATTATGTGTAACTTGAGTATTGTAATTGAAACATACAGTATAGGTTTATGCAAAAGTTAAGTTTAAATTTAAGTTATTTAAATTTAAAATATTTTAATTTTAATTTAAAGTTAAGTATTTCATTAAAAAATTTTCATTATATTACTCTATGAGATATAATTAATAAAATCTTATCAAAATAGTAGTCGTTAAACAAAATCAGAAAAATGAACGAGAAAATAAGAGATAAGAAATACATAAAGAAAATAAAAAACACTGAAACACACAGATTTCAAAGAAAAATATCTCTCTTGTTTCATGCAGGCGCATTCAACGATCCCAATATAATTTCGAGACTCTTAAAAAATAGAAATATTCATGCTTTAATTAAAGCTTTTGATATCGTAATTGTGACACTGATAATAAATAACAGTTTTCATTTAAAACAACAGTTTGACGTTAATCAATAATAATAAATTTTCGAATGCAATCTATCGTAAATGCAGCCAGCATTTTTGCGATGCATGTTTTCTCCGTTTTGCTAAATGAAAATTTCATCATGTATCTTATTCAATCTCAATTTTACACGTGTATAATAATAATGTGTAGATGTATCGAAAGCACCATGAAAAAAGGATGTTTTATATATGTTTCATATAATAAAAATTTATGAACAATTAACTCTCTTGCGGTACCAGGCCATTTCTCGTTCCGCACGCTATCAGAAAGAGAGGAGGGAGAAACAATGGAAATGCTTCCTTGTAACAGAGAAAATTTACTTTTTCTCGAATAGAGAAAATAAAACAAAAAGTTATTACATTTATCCACGCGCGTCTTTCGTACGATATCTGATTCATCTTTTATTTACGTAATTCTTATCTTCTTTTAATTCATATCTTGCGCAAATTTCCACATCTTTCCACTGCGCTTTCCGTAGATTGTACGAATTATAAAAATTATAGTTTTGTTTAATTGAATTTATTATATTTTTTCTTCTTTAAAGTCGCATTTTTTGTACACATTTCGCTATTATTTTTTTTTTAAGTTGTCTTAAAAGTAACATATTTTTCAAATATTTTCGAAAATGTGCTGGATAATATGTGTAAATGTGTGTAATTATTTCTTTTATAATTTTAAACAAAAATAGAAATATTATCTATTATATATATATATCATGTAAATAAAATAATATAAGTAGTGGATTACAAACCCTTTTCTTTCCTCCGATTGGTACTGCAAGGATTAAATTGATACTTTTAAACATTGTCAGCAAGAATAAATAGAATTTTATTTTTTTGAAGATAAAAAGGGGGAGAAATAAATTATCGTAACATTTCATTTCGCGAATTTTGGAATAACGCTATATAATGTAAATACGCGCAATTTTTAAGAAAAATGAATTGCTCATTGTAAAACGACAATGTTATAAATGAGAAAAATGATTCATGACATTTTTCTCACTGAAGAAAAATCGACGTCGAACGAACCGAAGAAGCTGCGGTCAAAGGACACTCAACGGTCTCCGAACATCCTGTGGGTATGTGGGTCGAAACACACGAGAGTTGCACGAGTTTTCCAAACTTTTGGAAATGGAGAGAGAGAGCGAGAGAGGAAGCGAAGGGAGATTAGAAATTGGCGATTATTCCCAAGTGAATAACCAATGATTAACACGTTTTCAGCGTATCGTAGGAGTCGCAATATGCTCTCAAAGAGGAAGAGAAAGAAAGTAATAGTTGGACCTGTATCGGTATTTGTAATTAGTAATTAACTCATCTACATTTCTCTTATTTTCGGAATTCCACTTATTATCAAGTCCCTTGTTCCGTCATTTTCTCACGTAATTTCGTTTATATGTCCGCCGACCTCTCTTTCTCTCTCTGCCTCGACGTTGAGGGCGACGGGGTAATCGTCCGGAAAAATGTCGTTTTTATACCAAAAACCTAAACGTAAACACGACTCGTTTCTCCGTGCATTTTTCCGAACGATCGATAACGCGAGACATCCATTCGCACGCTGAAATAATGGAAAATAAGCCTTTAGGAAGTATAATCTTACTGTCGTACGGGTAACTCGTAAAGAAGGTAGTAAAAGCCGTTCTCACGTCCGTTCTCGGTTCTCGCGTCGCGATACAAATCCCCAAATAACAATCTAACCAAAGGAACTCCCATTTCGCTCGCGAGCACAGATTATTTTCCTTTTTTTTTTTTATATAAAATACATACAAATTTATAAAATAAAATAATTACCAAAAATCGTAAATGTTCGCGAGCCCTACTTTCAAGACAATTATCTTTATTATGAATTTCCAACTTTGTATCACTTTTATATTTAGAATAATTATAATTGTGTATTAATTATGCAATTACTTTTATTAAATAAATCTTGTAAAATAGATCTCTCAAAAGAACATCATTAACTCTTTTTTTTTTAAATGTTTTATATATATTGTTTGATTTTTTTATACTTTATATACATATACTGTAAATAAAATGACTATACATTTATCATGAATGAAAGAAACCGTGAACCGGAAATAGAAAATTAAATTCGTCGTTTTCAAAGAACGATCAAACGATGTCACAACATCATCAATTGAGCCTTAACAAAGGGTGCATATATAAAATTCCAAAAAATACTGCCCCCCACCCCCCCATACACTCGTTCTATCCGGCGAGACGCGGACTACCGCCGTCGGGGAGGGAAGGGGTGAAAACCCGGGGGTGGCGGCCGTGAGTTCCTTCCGCGAGAGGAGGGTGCGTTTCCGCTACCACCGCCCGTTACCCGCACCAGCCGGCGGGAGTATAAAGTGGTCGCGTGCACCAAAGCTCGGTCACTCTGTCGCGGAGACATCGAAGAGACGACGCTACCCGGGGATCGAGTTGTCTTGGCTCGCATTCAAGTGTCACCCTCCCTTCGCTCCCATCGGGACGAACGTCGGACGAACACCGGGCTTGCACGAGGTATAAGATCGCGTTCTCCAATTCTTCCCGCGCCCGACTTTCCGGTCCCGGCATTTCCCGCACGCGCGGTTGTCCTTTGAACAAGTCGCTCTCTCGTCGATTAATACAATTTTCTTCTGCATAAGAAGGTAAATAGAGAGAAGAAAATAATTGTGCAAATGTAAATCATAATGGAAAAAGAATTAGGATGTACGTGACATAATGAAATTGACAAGTCGCGTGTTCGCGCGACGTTAGTAGAAAAAAACTCTTGTAATCGGACGATCTGTTTCTACGATAATGTTCTATGGGGTTCGGGATGAATTGGAAAGGATCTCTTCGCGGAGATTATTTCGTCATTGATCCCTCGGGAATACGGTAAACGAAGGGGTCTTCACGCGAGATATACAAACTCGCGTTTCTCGGTCCGACCGTGCGCGCGAATTTCTGCTATAGAGAAAAAATAATTATGCAAGTCAAATTATACTGATATAAATTTTCCACGTGAAACGCGAAAGATAATTATATTCGATGTAAAAAGTGAGGGGTATAAAAAGCGCGAGAGTAAATTTACGAAGCAGAAAACGCGCGCATGTTTTGTTTTGATTTGAATATAAATTAATATTTAAATTCGATCGACTGGAACGCGTGATGGCAAATAAATAGCCGCAGTTATAGATTAATTAGTCGTAAATAAACTCGCAAATTGAAGCGAAATAAACGTATGTCAATGAAGGAAGAAACTTTACGATCGAACGCTTCTGCGATAACGTATGACAGCATGTACGGAGAATAAAATCTCTCATAGAAGAGGAAGGAATATCGAGTTTAATTAAAATTTAATAAAAGAGAACTTTTTCTCTCGCACATACTCAGTGTTTTTTTATTTACTATTTCGAGGGTACGATACGACGAGGGTGTGACAGGCAATACGCACCTGAGATGTAAACTTGCCGAATTCCCGCACGACTTTCCCGACCCCGTTTGCAAACCAACATATAATTTGACGTTCGTTCGCGTCGAGCGGACGGGGACAAATTAGATCTTCTTTCGCTAGAACTCTTTACTTTCCGCAATAATACGGTAGTGCCGTAGTACGCCTCTCTTATTGCTTCGAGTATCTTTTGTGCAAAAAAAAAAAAACATGAGTAGTTATAAATTAAATGAAAGTAAATTAATAGGTATGTGGAATATTAGATATAAGAATAGATATAAATATAATACATATTTTATATATATCTATAAATATATTGTGTATGTATATTAAAATATACAAGTAGCAAATTTTGTCGCTTAGAATAAACTGCTCTTGTATAATTATCGTTAAAATTATTATTGATTTGTATGATTTTTCCATTGATAAAGTAATTATAAATAAGTTTATAAATTAAAACGTTTGCGCGTGCAGCACGGCAGTAGAAAAGGACTTTTATGGTCAGGCAGTTTTCTGATAATTTAACGCTTACACACAATTCGAAAAGATTGGATTAAAATGAACATTGTGTTGTAAAGTTTATTCAAATTTATTTTTATCTTATATTGCTCTCAGGATTTATGATTGAAATCTAAGGACAATAAGTTTTAAAGTCGGAATTAAATTAATTGTCTTTATAATAATACCTAATAATAAATCTTTGTGATTAGCTATTTAAAGATAATGTGTACAAGACATCTGCAATTCTTTTTATTGAGTTATTATTTAAATAAAGCTACGAAATTGGGTATTTTTCGAAAAAGGATTGAGAAGAGAGAAAATATTTAAAAGTGAATAAAGTATATTTATAAATAATTTGGATTAATTCGCTTGTGTTTAAATTGGGTCAATTTTCAGAGAAGAGTTTTTCAGCGTTTCGCTAACTTAATTATCTGTATTAATTTTCATAATAATCCAACAAAGAGTAAATGCAACAATAAACGATAGACAATTACGATTTATTTCGGGTACAAATCTAAAGAGGCGTGAAATTCACCGCAAATATTATCAAAGAGCGAGTTTCGAGGTCACAATGAGCCGAATCATAGAGACAATCTAAAAATGCGGAGATTCCAATTTTTCCTTTTTTCTCTTGCGGAATCCAGATGTGTGCGCGTGTCAAAAAATTTCTGATAAAAAAATTCTTAAAATCTCTTAGTGTACACTCGAGCATTCTGCTTCCCGTCTCGCGATCTTTAAAAGAAAAAAAAAAAAAAGAACTTTTACCTCGAGCGTTCAAGATTCTTTCTCATCCCTCCGTTCGCGATACACTCGCGATTTTATCTCAACGCAATCGTTCCGTTATTTTCGATATCGAATCTCGGGATTAACATATGTGTATACTAATGATATCAGATAAACCCGCTGGCAAAACCCCCCTTCGAAAACGCGTTCGCGCACGAATTATTGCAATGACCTTTTCTAATTAATGAATTAGATTCGCGCAAACCGCACCGCAAAGCGACCCCGTTGTCACCCGCCGCGGTGCGCTTTGTGCGATACTCGAATGTTTCTGTTTCGCGCGGCCGCAATGAATTAATCTGATGGAGCGACCAATAATAATGCGCATCGTCGATTGTCCTTCGCAATTAGCGGATTGCGTAACACGGACCGCGGGTGACGAGCTTCGCGCGGGCTTCGTTTTTTTCATTTAACCCCCTTCATCCTCCTTGCTCCTCCCCTCTCCCTCTCACATCCCCATGTGTATTTATGGCCTACACTACATATTCGCTGTACCCTACGTCGCCCTACTCTTTCGTTACGTTCCTTCAAATTAAATACAGAATTAAACAATTGATCACATTTTGTTTCAATTAATTCACTATCGAAAATTGATCCAACAATTGGATTTGTTAAAACAAAACTTTATCGATTTGTTTGTTTATTCGTATTTCCTTCAAAGAAGGCGGCAAGAAATTAAACTCCCGAAATCTGAGAAATACATTCTCATCGGAATAGAATTTATCTCTTTATCAGAATCTCTTTACCAGTCGGACGAAACTTTCTCTCCAACTTGAACGCTCGTACTACTTAAACACAGTGGCACGCGTTCCACATCTCTCACATTTCTTAATCTTATAAATATATTTCAATACTTTTATAAATTTCTTTCCAACAACTTTTTAATCAAAAATTCAATATTTATTACTTCTTTGTTCCGCGAATGAAATAAAGAGATACGTTATTAAATAATTGCATGTTATCAGAATGAAATGTACGGAATGCGGAGAGATAAGAGATTGCCATGTACGCTAAGAAAGAAAAAAAAAAAAAATACGCCTATGAACTTAATTGCACGAACCGTTAGCGGGTTCATTAGTTATCGGCAATTCAGATCGTTTATATCGATTTTCGACGTACTTTTTCGACGCGTAGACACAAAGCGCGAAATAGAACATCGCTTTCTAATCGAATGTTTCGTCGACAACAAGATTGCCGAGATTCGCATCGATTCGACGTAATAAAATTATTTTCGACGCTTCTCCATTTTCGACAAGACAAAATTCAGGATACAAATTCACGTTTCTCGATCGTTCTCTCTGACTAGCCAAATGTGCCGTCAATATCAAACGCAGTTACGTTATGTATTAAAGAAATATATATGTTTTGATAAATCAAACTTTTCTTTTTATTTCAAAGTATACATATATTTATCTACTTAAAATAATTTTTGCATCAATTTTTATGAATATCGCGCTAGTAAAATAAATCAATGTGCAATATTTTTCTTGTAGCTGCATTATCCGAAATCGAAAATTTCAACATAGATTCTGGAAATATAATTTGGCAATATTATTCTGGCAAAATGTTATGCCGGCGTCAAAATTTTCGTCGTCGATGACGATTGAAATAATTCTCGGTTTTCTTTCAATTCGAATGAGACGAAATCATTGTCAAGGATTTTTAGTAAAATATTATTTTAGATCGGATACGCAAATAAAAAATTTCATGTGTTCGTCAATTTTATTCTCACTTTCAGATTCTGTAAGGATGCCATCGGTACGAAACGCAGCTACACTGGCGTTGGTGCTTCTCGTCTTGGCAGAATGGTCGGTGGCGATGCCAACGGCCGACAAAGACAAAGACAGACTATTGAACACCGTGGATGTAAGTAAACCGGCGTAAGATTTTTCCGTTTTGACGTACAAATTATAAAATATACCGTTTTAAGGGGATCATCTTTGTGGAAAAAAGTTTTGAGAACCAAAAGGTCGAGGAAAATCTCTAAGAAATTTTCGGAGACCCTAAGTCGGGGAAGGCGTGACATTTAAGATTGTTCCAGTCGGATTCGGATTATTTTTTCAATTTCATTACACGATCAAGAAAAAGCGAAAGCTTTCAAATTCGCACGCGCACGCGCATTTAAAATTTTTCCCGCAAGGTATCGTTCCTAAATCTATTTCGAGCGAAGATTCGCGAAATTGTAAAATCTCTCTTGCGAGAAATCAAAATTATATTTCCCAGCGTTGGAAAAAATTCGGACTGTTGGAGAAAAAAATCCGTTTCCAACAAACGTTGGAAAAATGAAATACGAAAAATCAGGATCTGTCCGCGTTTTTTTTTTTTTTTTTTAAGAACTTTGTTCGACCAGACTAACTGGTGAGTAAAATGGACGCGGGGCGAGGGATTCGTCTGACAGCTGTCAAAAGCGTCTTCGCATTCTCCATCGCTTTGTAATCGAATGACGAGATCGATCGGGGATATTCTCTTTTGCATGATTCGAAAGATTTCCTGACATTCGCACTCTCGACAGAATATCCTACAACCTCGCGACGAGTTAATTTTGACGATAGATTTTCCGACTGATCTGAAATAGATTTTTCCTTCCGCAGAAAAATATTGCAAGATCAATAATTTCCAAGTAAAAGAAAGAGAGCTTCAAGCTTCAGAGAAATAAATAGGGGGAACCATATCCATTAATTAATTTCAAACTTTATAATTTAATAGAATTTTAATTCGAAACTCGCTTATGAAGATGTATGATGTTGAAAATTAAAAAGTTGCGATAAATGAGAACTTCCCCCTCGATATTTTCATTAGAAGACGAATCGATCTCAAACTATTCGGAAAATCCGTTGCTAATATTAATCTCACGAATTGTAAGATATCCTATATATTGATTTCATTTTTCCAAATATGCGAAGCAGTCACAGTATCGACGAATCATCTTTTTAAAATTTTCCATATAACAAGAGTCGCTTGTAACGCGATGACAAAACAGGAAGAGTAACATTGTCAATATTACAAATAAATTAAGGATCATTATTTAACGATGGCTCGTTAAAGCAAAAGCTATGAAAAACACGGTTAGTATTTTTTTTTTTTTTTTTACGAGAACAGTATTTCCTGAAATTTTTCACGCGACTGCGTTCCAAAAGAAAGGTAAGAGAAGAAGAAAAAAGAGAAAAAAAGCGCCTTGTAAGAAAATAACTGCACGCTCGCCGTCATATCGCGCAATTCCCTTTCTATCTCGATCTCCCGTCTCGAAAACGTTTACACTTGATTTGAAAGATCTATCTCGAGATAAAAATACTTGCCGAGCTGAAACAAGGGGCGGAAAAGAAGCTGTCACGCCAATAGCGATATTGTCAAAGGGCAAGTGTCGCGAAACTACTCGACAAAATCGATACTGTACACTTGTTACTCGATGAATTCCGGAAGGATACTATTACGAGATGATGTAACCGGAAGGAGAGGACGAGGGTTTTGTGAAAATGTTGATGCTACTTTTCCATCAGCAATGCGCAGAATATAATTCGAAGAAATTGCGTCGTAGTGTGTTGCGTAACCGCGCATCATTTCCCTGAATTGCAAATGAGACAAAGACGATGGAAAGAAACGTAAGAGAAACTGAGGGGGAGGAAGCTTCGTTTAACCATCGGATCGAGAAAAAGCAAGGATCGTCGATCTATCGGGAGCGCGATGCAACGTGCCTTATAAAAAGTAATAACTCGCTCGGCGTAATTTAGATTCGCATTACACGAAAGAAAACAATTGTACGTTTCTTGTTTCAATATTATACAATTGATTACGTCTGTCCCCTTATCGTCAGCAAAACTCTTTTTGCCATAGAATAGATTGAAAAATATCGGGCAAAAATGTAACTCGGCGAATAAAAAAATATAAACTTAAAAATCGAGAAACGGGTCTTTTAGCTCGAATTACATTTTGCGTCCCGTTTTATTCACCCGGCGAGAATTCTACTATCGCAAGCTGCAACTGCGTCTAGTCGTAAATACGAATCAACATTTCGAGAAAGAGCAAAGAAGAACGAAGGCGAGCACGGAAGCAGCCACGAGAGCCAATAAATTCGTGAATCGTGAATCGATAATCTGCCAATACGACAATCGAATTTTTGTATCCCGTCCGCTTTAGCGTTCTCCTTCGATATGTGCATTTCAATTCTCAGTTTCTTAATTTCAACACCGAGCAGTCATTTTCGGATAAAAAAATGTTACGTCGAGAAAAATATAATTGTAATAAAGATAGATAAAGGAAATTTTTCAGGCGTAAGATAGAGAAGAAAATACCAAGAAGCATCTAGAAAGCTTGCATAATATTCATACATTAAAGAAAAAAAAGAATCCTAAATATTTTAATCAAACAAAGATAAATATGTATATATTTCTTCGTGATTAAAAAAATATTCTTACCGCACGCTATCATTTCATCTTCTTTTTGTAAGCTTTTGTAAAATACACAAATATATTAAATTTACATAATTTTTATATCAAAAACTTCAGAGAATCTGTTCAAACTATTGAAATGACACGCTGCGCGAATATTTTTTACATCTGTTTTTAAAAAAGAAAAGACGACAAGAAGGGAAGAAAAAAGCTCTCTGAGAGAAGATATCCCGTATGAAATCACGCGTGATCAATAAAGCGAGGCTTACATGTCTATAATATTTCATAATCCCCGATCTGTGATATGTAAATCTTATTGTTAGATAAGAGATTTTCTTAAGGAAAACATCGCGAAACAGAAGTAAGTTTTACACAGCAAGGTACAAAATATCACAAGTGTAAAAATAGAAGAATCGTAAATCCCTCAAATAAAAAAAAAAAAAAAAAAAAAAAACGTAATATAAGGAAATTGAGAAAAGTAAGATACAATATTATAAGTGTAACATTGAAAGATCAAGATAAAAATTAAGAAATATCGAGAAAGTAATCAATGTATAATACAAGTGGAAAGAGAGAGATAAATATTAATCGAATATTTCTTTTCTTTATACACTCTCTATAAAAGAGAGACGAGCAAAGAGAAGGAGAAAGATGCCGCGAGAAGATTTCCCACACGAAATCACGAGACGAGTTTGCACTTCTATAACGCTTTACAATTTACCATTGGGATTTCATTCGCTCGCTCATGTAACTCCGGAGACTCATTTATTTAAAAGAAAATCCGGAAACACATGTGTGTTTTCGATTGTGTTTGTCGACTTTTTATTATAATCAAGAAATATATCTCTGCGATAAAATTTCCGAAGAGCTAACGTCAGATATAATCGAGGAAAAAGAATCGCATTTACTCTCGCGAGGTTAAGCGACGTTGTTAAAAAAAAAAAAAGAAGAAATTATGAGTCGTATAAATTGAGTTATATAATTTTCACGTATCGGATATATGTTATTTCAAAGTTCTTGAACGTAAAAATAAGAATAATAACGATTTCAACTAATCAGTATTTTTTAATATTTTACACAAAAAATGTCGCCTAATTCTATCCACTCAAAATGTCACAGAATCAATATTTATAAATAGTTTGCCTTTAAGATTCTGGCTTCCGCAATTTTGTCAAAATTATGAGTCAAAATTATATTTCCCTTTCGAAAGCTCGATTCGCGAGAGGCGGAACCGCGAATATCGCATCAATTATCTAATTTTGCTTAATATCAATCTGATAATATCGATCTATCTTACGTAAATATTTGCTACGCGAAACGAGCAATCACGCGGACTACATTATTTTTCTCGCGTCGCAACAAGGAAACTGAAATAAATAAATATGTCAATCGATCCGAGCAGACGTGCAGATTGCATCCATTGACAATAAACAGGATAGTTCGCCCCGACAATGCGCATGTTTGCGTTTCCATTTACGCCCCGCTGACGAAAAAGCGCACGCTCTGGTTTGTAATGCATTGCGAGTGTTTCTCGCTTTTTATTATCGGAACATTAATCGAGAATAATCGTATTTAGAAAGAACGCGCGTTCTTTCGTCGAAATCGACGGTAAAATGGACTGCGACACGCGACACAATCGGTTTCGATGGTATCCGAATCATTATTTATTGCAATTTATGCAACAATTATAATTTTTGATAGTATTATTTTATTAAAAATTATAAGCAATTTCTAATTTTCTATCTATAATTATTCATAAATTTATCTCATTGTAATGTCAAAAATTTTTATATTTCATAATAAATATTTATATATTATAATAAAATTATATCTATTATAATTTTATTTATTATAATTTTTTTTTATATCATACGTTTTCTTTAGCGTAATACATTCCCGAAACGAAACATGCAAACTGCTACTGCTATTACAAATTTCTCATATCCTTATCACTTTAGTAGTATCATAACTTCTTTCCGATCATCGTTTATTCAAAAAAGCGTGTTACTCTTTCTTCCAAAAAGAAAGTAGTCAACGACGTCGTCTAATTGTTCCAGTTGATAGACGACGACGGCAGCATCGAGACAGCCCTGATAAATTACCTATTCACCAAGCAGATCGTGAAGCGCCTCCGCAATCAGCTGGATATCGGCGATTTACAGCGTAAACGCAGCTACTGGAAGCAGTGCGCCTTCAACGCTGTGTCCTGCTTCGGTAAATAAGCAGGACGAAGGGAAAAAGGCATATATATATATGTATATTTACGGAAAGTTATATTGTCGGAAAGTTTAAGGGAACGCGATAGAAACGCGAAAGAGATTCCACAAAGTTTTTTAAATTTCGATAAAAAATGTTATTAAAAAATTACGTTATTTTAAAATATTAAAGAAAGATGTAATATAATTGATAATAGCCACTACGCGTATGGTAATTTAACCCAATTCTCATAACGACATTATAATTTAGCGTTATTAAAATACGCGAAACATTAAATACGTATCTCTCCTAATGTAATGCGTTTAACGAAATAATTCGATATAAAATGATAAATGTCATAAAATATTTAATGATCCGTTCGACGAAAAACTTGACGCCGACGAAATAATCGAAATCAACTTCGAGATTAAGAGGCGCCGACTCTTCGCGCGATAAAAAATTAATTAATTAATTTCAAATTGTAGCAACAACAACTAATGTGCGCGTATAAACGATTCTCTTTCGTTTCTCCACGCGTTTCTCTTCGTTCTAATTCGAAGCAACTGACTGCGTTATTATTAATCCGTGAGGAATAAACCGCACGAGGAGCGAAAGCGGGAATTATCGTCGGGGGCGCAAGTCAAAGTCGGTTGCTCCCAAAACGAGCAATTATTCGAGCCGATATCACGCGTTTATCCCACGCGGAGTGTTCCCAAACTTTCCGACAACGACGGTATGTACGAGGGAAAGACAAAGAAAAGAGAAGGATCCTTCCTCATCTCCTCGCAAAATGTCCGACTTAGAGCTTTCAAGAAAAACAAAGAACAAAGTAGCTGCGAATGTCAATCCCGTTGGCTGTTTTCGAACCCTTTGCATCGATGCTTCCCCTTCGAGGGGGGAGGATAAAAGCGCGTGAGAGAAATAAAAGTAAATAGAAAAAGAGAGAGACAAAGCGGATGAATAAAATTAAAATCGAAAAAAAGCACGGTAATATAAAGTTAATCGCGACATCGATTAATTTTATATTATCCATCGCGCGCGCGCGAAATAACTTATTGTTAGTTTCTGTAAATGATAGTACGATAGATAGCGGGGGCGCGAATGCAAAGGGTAACGATACGAATAACGATGTAATCGAATACATATCAGAGGATACCGCAGAGGACACGTGCCGAGTCCAATTCTTCTTTCGCGTTGCTATAAACTCCTATCTCTGTATCATCATAACCCACCAACCTCTAGCGCGTTGTTCGATACATATATATATATTTAATTGATGCGTAATTTCATTTGCCTGTGTCGTCGATGTGTTCCGCCCTGTATATGTCACAGCGTTCTGTGAATGATTAAACTTGTTGTGTAATTGGCCCCTCAATTATATAGAATATTTCTCCTTCCCTCTTCCCTTTACCCCCCATATACGTCGATTGGGAGCATCGAAAATACGTATTGATATCAACATATGAATTTATAATTTTATCCTTCGCGTTTCTTCCGCGATTGTTTAATCGAAATAACATTTATTGTTGGTGAGTGGAATTATAGATTCGCTTCCTAGTTCGTTTAATCGGATAATACGATCATTTTCTGCTACTTTCCTATTTAATTGTATATAATTTCTTCATCTTAATGCCTTAAGGAATAAATTTTTCCTTTTCTCTTAAAGATAATTTTATCGTATTTATATCATGCGTTTTATTCATTTTTCACAGATGCGTACGTTTTATGTAGGATTTAAGAAATAAAAAATAATTTATTCACTCATTGATACCGAGGCGGAGTTGTGGTAACTACACATACCATAGTTATACGGCTACGATGTTGATCTGTAAAATAAAAATACATCCTAATTAAAGCAAACTAAATATTTAAATAAACATTTCATGAAATAGATTGCAAATTATCGAAAAAGGCTTTCTTTAGCTATAAATTTTTTAAAATAATGACGAAAATCTAATTCTTATATAAATACGTAACCTAAATAATCAGAAATCTTGAATACAAATGTAATGTTAAAATATATCTTAATATTTTATCTATATAAAAATCAAATCAATTAAATATAGAAATATTTTAGTCAGAAATATTTTAAATATTTTAAAATAAATCTGGAATATTTTCCATGCATTTATATTAGATGATAATTTAACATGAATTGTTACTAGAGATAAACAAAGCAAATAATTTTACGAATATAATAAGTAATAAATAATTTTTAAATTATACTCACCCCGTAAGGTTGTCGTGCTCCATTGTTGTATTTTCAGACCTTTGGCTCTTCTCTCCTGTTCAATCTTGCTGCTCTTTCACACACTCACATGGCACTATACAGACTCGCGGAAACACGGTTAATTACGAATATGATAGTCGCACGACACGTTAAACGTACGCAAGGCGCACTTTATTATATCAATTTTATTATTTCGCGTTACAAATTAAGGTAAAACTGTATAAAAGATTACACACCTCCGATTGTATTGCCACTTAAATATGTTGTAAGGGAGGTATTTCTAAATTCCCCGCAAGAAATTGGTGGGAGACGGCATTCGTTTAAGAGATATAACAAATTAAAGTTTCATTGTTTAATGTTTTTTCTATTATAAAATAAGGGAAAACGAAGTTTGTTTAGATCGTATTTGTGTAGAGCAGACATGGAAAAAGTGTTTATTTATGCCTCTCCTCCGCTCACGCATTCAATAAATAATATTTTTGGAAAACGACTCAAAAATTCATGTGCTCGCATGTTGAAAGCTGTTAACGAACTGCGAGAAATAGATGAAACACATTATTGACAAAATATCCATGACCGTGTACCTATTCCGTAAATGTAAACAAACACTTTTTCGTCTGCTCTCTACAATAAATACAACGTACACAAACTTCACTTTACCTAATATTACTTTATAATACCTGAGAAAAAGCATTAAAACTGCGAAACTTCAATATATTATATCTCCTAAACCAATGCCGACCCCCACTTATTTCTTGCGGGGAATTACTCAGAAAAACTACCCCTATAACATATTTAAAATTAAATAAATTAAACATAAGCATCCGCGGATTGCGATATTCGGGAATATAATTAGGTTTGTCGACTGGTCGTAGAGTTCGATCGAATCCCGCGAAATAAGCGTTCTGAGAAATTTAAGTAATTTATTGAAAAAATAAAATTATTCAATATAATTATTAACAATAATTAACTTCTCTTTTTGATTTCAGATAAATAGCGTGATTTTTTCGATTAATTTAATCAATTTTTAAATCAAAATTTAGTGCAATATTTACTTTATAAAAGAAATTGATATTTATACAAATATGTAAATATAATATTTAAATACAATTTGAAAGTTTCAAAAGTTAATTAAAATCTTTTAACAAACAACTGCATAAGTAAATATTTTAAATGTTTCAAAATCAATTTCAAAATCGACTGTTCCATATATTCAATAAAAAAAATTAAAATAAATATAAATAAAAGTAATGATAAAATTATAATTTTATTTATATTGAAAAAAGATTAAATTTTTGCAATAAACATCGACTTATAATGAGAGATTTAATATGGAAAATTTTAAAAATACTTCTTTTAATGTTATAAATATTAACAACACAGGATATTAATATATAAGTCGATCGATGATGTATCCGCGCGGTTTTGCCAATTAATCGAAGAAATCCGACATCGGCGTTTCCATCTCGATATCGCGAGATACGTCTGATATGCAAGTCGAATTAAGAGTTTAGTTAAAACGCGATAATTAATTAATCGCACGCATTTATAATCGCTAACTAAAGTAATGATAGATTAGATGAGAATAAAGCACGTTAGTATTATATTTGTGTAAATAATAGCTGCTTACGCCGCGCAAAAAGAGTGCAACGAAATACCTTTATATATTCACATTTACTATAAACTCATATTATTTGAGCGTATATTATTTGTTAATAACAGAGCATTGCTGTATCGACTATAATCTAAACTTGGCAGCGCAATTTTCGAGTGTCGTATTTTTGAAACTTTATGCGATTATAATTTTTTTAATCGTTTTCCTATGGCAATAAAAATGCATTGCTAACGCGAACGTGATTAATAATGTTTTCGTGAAGGATTATCATATAAATGCCACAAAGGCGCAATAAAGGACAGACAAGAGGAAAGAGTGTTTAACACAACGGTGATTCATACAAATATATATTTCACGAAAAATTGATGCGTCTTTTAATTCTCCCGTTAAAAAATGTCGTGCTTAAAAAAATAATAATAATAAATTTCACTTTATATGCATTTTCGATAATCGAGAGTAAAATATCTGTGTTCGATATCCAATAGATAATTAGTCTGAAACCTTTTTCTTCCGTTTCGTCAGGTATAACGAATTTCATTTTTAATCAACCGTGTATGAGACAGTTTTATGAAAAATTATGACACTTTATTATAAGAAGCACCGTTGCACCCAAGCTCTGCGATATTTTACAGTTAATATTATATTTATATATTTACTACATATTTTAATATATTCATCTCTTTTATCTCAATTAATTTTACACCATTTTTTATCATACATATTTATCATATTATATCATTTATATAACTACTACATCTTTCATCATTATCTTATTATTTAATAAATTCAATACGACGCAATAAAAACACATCTTTTTACGATTACTTTTTTAGAATCTTTTCACGCGAAATTAAATTTCTTAGCCAAACTGCTCTTTCACCCACTATATAATCATGAATTACAATCTCGGAAACATGTATGTGCATTGTGCTGTGTATAACTAGTTCAAACTTACCATGAGAACGGCCGTGGACGGAATTTCCGCGCGCGTGTGAATGACGTGGGTCGTCGTCAAGTCTGGTCTATTCTCCGTTACTATCGTGGCGCCGAGTCTAACGTTTCAAGCTTTGTCAAGGAGAATCATAGTTTGGACATAGTTGGTAGGTACGCTCGGCTTTAAATTCGCTCTTATCCCGGGAGAACAAAGCGGAAATGTGCGTTTCGTTGGAGAAGAACGACGAAGGAAAAATGGCCCTCGGCCACCCCGCTCATAGAAAACGACGGGTGACCGGACGATCTCTCGAGGAATTTCCTTTCGCGAACCAGCGCTATGTCTGGTCATTGTAACCCACCGAAGAAGCGAGATTTGATTTATATATCATCGTATCTACTACATATTGTGTGCCGCGTGTTTCGTATCTCGGCGGATCGTTAATTACATCTTCCGTATATAATTCGTTATATATTACATGTGTGTATTTTAATTTTATCATAATTATTATTAATATAAAATAATATATATAATTGAAATAAAATTCAATGTTTACAATTAAAAGGATATTATAACACATGTTTTAAAACCTGCAATCCTGCCTTTCCTTCACCAATTAATTTATAATATAAAATAACATTTCTCAAATAAGAGAGAAAACGGAGGATACCGAGTGCCCCTTATCGCAAAAATCCGGAGATAGAGAACTCGTGTTACAAGTCTCGATAATCTCTCAACATCTCCGTTAATGCACAGCCGATGTTGCGCTACTTCGGAAATCGATTAGAGGATCGAGAGAGAAAGAGAGAGAGAGAGAACGGGGGCTGTAAAAATTTATGAAATTATCGGAAGCGAGTGCAATTTTCGTAAAATTATCGAGCTTTTATAAAATCGGGAACGTAAAGATAATATAATCATGTTGGTACAGCGCGAATTATTATTGCGTAAAATAACGTTGGAAAAAGGATACTTTTTGAGCATCCTTTGCACATCCTTCCTTCTGCTCTTGTCGAAGCCGGGCGCTAAACTCGCTCGTACATCTTGCAGGACATTATTGGATCTCTGGATAAACAAATTTTACAATAAATAGAAAGAATGATGGAGAAAGAGAAAAATTTATTAATGATCCTAAAATAAATCATCTGAAAAATGAAGTAAAATAAGACGTGATGTGATAAAAATGAGAGTTAAGAATTTTATAAATTGCAACATTCTTACATATACAAGAGAAAAAGAGAGACTAAAGATAAATTTTTGTGTAATAAACAATAAATGTATATATATATATATATATATATTAAAAATAAGTAGCAAAGCAGCGCGAGAATTATATTAGAGAATTTCCAAGATAAATGAGACTAATTTCAGTGATTTAACGTTTCAGTATCGCGAGTAGAGATAAGTAGCGAATTCCAAACAGAAGCAGCTGTCTACGTGAAAGATTACTGATAAGTGATACGTTCGTAGTTATAGTTTAAGAGAGATCAGCGAGACAGAGAAACATTTATCGTTGTCTCAAGTTAAGAATCCTCCAAAGACATAAAGGAATACACACTCTATGAAATTTGCAATGTTTTAATATATCACACACACATCTTTTTAAATAAAAATATGTAAGTAATCTCTTCTCTCTCAAATCTCGTAAAAAAGGCGGATAAATTGTGACAATCGCGAGTATTGAACTGAATAATTTCTTCGTGTTACAAAGCTTCCTTACGGAACTATTGGTAGCAACGAAAGATATTTATAGTATTATCAAACAATAAAAAGTGCTATTTTTAAATAACTAAATATACGAGTACAAAACTAAAAAAGCAGAATAAAGAAAGTGCAGATGTAACATTTGCAAATTTCCACTGTCGAAAGATAAATTTCTATTATCATGTAAGAGGAATAAAAATAACGCCGACTTACGTTATCCTCGTCCTTTGCATCGAGAACGCTCGAGAACTTGGAGGATCCTTCCGCATTCGTTCCGCTGGTAAGATAACAATCGACGTCACGATTCAGCTCCGTATTCTCTTCCGAATCCGATCCCACGTCTCTTTTGACTGTCGCCTCCGTCTCGATCTTCGACACTTTCAATTTCTTGCTCCGCGGCTGGATATCCGCGATACTATCGGGTTCTTCGTCGCATTTATTCCTCTTCCGTCTTTCGAAGAATTCTTCTGATACATCCTCAATTTTGAAGCTTGTTGACGGCTCGTCCAGCGAGCTCGTTATCTTCCTTGCCTTTTTCTCAAATTTTCTCGGCGACGTAGCCGGATTGGGAGATCTTTTTCTCGGAATATCCTCGACGTCGGCCAATGTTCCGAGCAGATGACTAAAGTCGACTGAATCCGGCTTCTTCTTGAAGAGCCCGCGTAACTCGTTCAAGCTGGTGGCCGTGGACCAATCCTTGTCGTGACGGATCCGTGTGACACGCGGAAATCGGATGCTGATACCGTCCGCGGTGTGTACCCCCTGATTCGTAAACTCGGCCCCCGTGATTTCCCATACCGGTTGTTTCTGTTGCCCGACATTCAAAATAATGATTAATTAAATAATGCAGACTATTTCATCTATTGTTATCTTCCACGTCATGTGTTTTAATAATGAAAATTGATGACATATAAATTGCCGAGTTGGAACGCATTTCCATATTTATATTTGTAGAAATATTTCCACACACAATACACATAACCGTACATTTCTTTCTCTAATAAATTTTTCAGGCCTTTTATTTGCTTTCCATTGATTAGTTCCTAGATAATTGTAAGAAGTATCGCATATTATTTGCAGCTCGCAAGGAAAATTCAATCATGGGATATTATATCATGGGCTCCAAAAATTTATTACAAAAAGAAATGAGTGGTAGAAATATTTTTAGAAATATAAATATGGAAATATATTTTAAGATTCGACGAGAGATCTATGCCATATCAATTTTCATTATTAAAATACATTACATAAAAGATAACAAAATCGAAATATACTGCCATTATCTTGTCATGTATATATGTAAATATATAAATATCGCGTTGATTATTTCTATCACCAATTTCTTTCCAAATATCGCTTTGAATATTTCTACCACAAATTCATTCGCTTCCCGTCTCAAAAAATTTTTCTTTCTATTAAATGAATGAAATTATTTGAATCTAATTACTCGATCTAATACCGCGGAATTGAATTTTTTTGTGAATTACAATCGATATATATCGCTAGATTTGCTTTATACTTGTATACTAAAAATCTTGTCGCGAAAGTAAAAGATAAATTACCTTGGGATCTCTTGCCACAAAATCCGGCACCATGGGTTTGTTGGCGTGTAACCAGCTCGGCAGCTTCTCAACATCCTTGCCGATCTTCACCATGTCGAGCTGGTCCTGCAGCTCCGTCAAGGTGGTATCGTCATGTCCCGTGTGGACCTACATCATTCAGAAATAATAAAATATATTAATCTTTAAGCTAAAATTAAATTAACTTGATTAATCATTTGATTTACTTTGGTCACGGTTAACCACTTATCGCGTTCCTCGTCATAGCAGCCCATTAAGAAGATCGATAACATGCCACCTGTGAAAATAAATCAAAAAGAAACATTTTTTTTAGAAAAAAAGAAAGAAATCGAAAATATATATTTCGAATGATTAAAAAAGATTCGCCGATTCTGTTTCAAAGTTTCAAATTTTATTGACTTTTCTAGAATTTGTATTAGAATCAATGGTGATTATTCGAACAAAATAAAACCTATTTCATATGTATATAATTAATAATTTTTTTAATAAAAAAATTACTTTTAAAGACGCACCGCGTGCGATAAATATTGTTTTTATATAATTCCATTTTAAAAATCTTTTGTAACCCAACTGTGATAAAATATCGCGTATTATACGGACCTTTATTGCCTGTGCCGTACCATGCGCCAAGCACGACGAGGTCTGCGCTATCAGCCATTGCACCCCCGCACAAATAGTCCTTCTTTACCTTCAACCAGTGTCTCTTGCCTGGCTCGTACTTGCTCTGAAAATGCGAGTTTCCATTCGTCGAAGAAAACGTTCACGCGAGAACGGTATGTTATCGCGAGATTTTTACCAATCAATCACATATATGTATATACTATAATAAAAGTTATAATCTTTGAGTATTTCTTTTTTTTTATTCGAAATCTCTTTTCGTGTGACAGGGAACGTTTCTAAAGATTGATACTTACATCGATGTCCTTTAGGACCAAACCCTCGAGACCCAATTTCAACACGTACATGATTCTTTCCGCCAGAGCACGCGGATCCTGAAATGAGATACGAATCATGACCCGCGGTATAATACGATACTGCTGTAAATAAATAACAATTAATGTATTTCTCTCTTTACATGAACTTCGTGAACTTCTGATAGCATTATTCTACTCGGTATCTCGGTCATCCTGTCTTTCAGAATCCTTCTGCGCTCCAACATAGGTCTAATAGAATGAGAAGAAAAAAATAAATTGTATCATTATAACATATAGTTATGTCTAACATAGTTATAAAAATGCAATGTTGTTATTTTATCATGAAATATTATATCAAAAAATAATATATTAAGTATTATTCTAAAATCTTGTAAGAGTAACATTATATATAAAGCTGTTGATCATAAAGTTTAAAATAATAAACCAACGTGAAAAGCCAAAGTACATAGTTGAGAAAAAAGAATGAAAAAAAGAAGAAAGATTATCATTATATAAACTATTTCGTAGAAACACGATATATATATTTACTTGTTCATAAGTATCTCTCCGTTGTAGTACAGACAATCAAAAACAAAGAGGCACACATTGGCGTTTTTAAATTCGGCTTTCTGAAATTATATTCGATTATAGAGAAATTTTATTTTATAATATTATAATTATTATTATAAAATATTGCATATGATATCGACTCTTGATGCAAATTATTGCGAGATATCATAGAATTCGAAATAATAATAAATTAAATATAAAAATGTTAAGGGAAGACTTTAAAAATCGTGAAAATAAAAAATTAGCAACGCGAGAAATAAAGTTTTTACTTTGTGAATTCCTAAGGTGCCGAAAGGCAAGGGTTGCCCGGTCTCATTGTCGACCATGAGAACCTCGGAATCGAGAATCAAATCGTCACCGTCGGGGAACGCCTGTGCTATGTAATCCTTGAACAGATTTACCTGAAAGAAATCATTTGTCATTCCGTTATCCGAGAGAATTATTCGAATTCGATTTCAGATCGCACTATTAAAATCTCAATTGTTATGCGACTCGAATTTCATTCCTTTTTTTTTAACTCTATCGAGCAATTTCGTGAGAAATTTTAACGATCTTCGTGTAATTTCCAAAGAGATAAACAATATGTATGTATATGCAAAAAGTTCGGCGGAAAAATCTATTCTTCTCACGTTTCTCGAAACGAGGACTTTTGTAACCTCATCTCGTGAATAAATATATAAGAAGTTCAAAGGTGAAAGAAAAAAGATGAAAAAAAAATGTTAAATTTCGCGTGCAATAATCAATCGATAATCAATTTCCTCGCGTTAATATGACTTCCTCCCGAAGTGTGGAATTGTTTCCTAACGATACAATCGATTTTAAAAGCGCGATATATTATATAACAATATTTCTCGATCGATTACGTTTTTTTGCGAATTATCGCCTCTACCTTGTGCGGCAGGACCGGTTTGAGGGATCTGCTAAAGTATCGAAAGTCGTTTCCGCTTTTGTGCACCTGCACGCGCTCGCCGTCGTACTTGACCTCGGATAACATCCCGTTCGGGCACTTTCGCATCGCCATTGCCACGGATGTACACGCCTCTGCCTTTATTAATTCATTAATTAATCAACTATCTTATTCGCGGCTGAAATTAGTCAATTACAATACAATTTTAATTAAATTAATAACAATTATTTAACTTTTGACTGAAAAAATTAGCAATTGCTACAATCTCTTGAATTATTTATTTTATATCGTTACTATTATCCCCCCCCCCCTTCTTGTCTTCTAAATATATTTTAATTATCGATAAATGGCTCTTAATAATCAATCTATAGCGCTTACATAATTACATAATTACTTTTTATATATTATGGTCGCAAGTAAAAAATGTGTTAATATAATCGTATCTTTATTAAATGACCGGAGAGGTAAAACTCGATTTTATTGATTATACCAGCATCGGTAAGACGGGCGTCATCAGCGAGATGGCTACTTTATTCCGACTTGATGGCGAGCCCGAGGTGTTCGAAGGCTTTTCCTCCGAATCCGGCAGAAAACGATGTATCACCGCTTCCAAATCTCGGGACATCTGAAAGGCCTTGTACGCGTCCACATGGACCCCCTCGAGACTGAACAACGCGTATGTATTATTACATTATTACCATCGTCGAATCGATTATAGGATATGGAGTTATACGAACTTATACGCAAGATACACACTCACATGTGCTTCGGACCGGCGTTGATCCTCAGATCGTGCTTGATCAGACGCACGATTATCTTGAGGTCGTTGGAGGTACATCTACAAATTTTATCGAAACGATTCGATATAATATTCGTAAATGAAAAAGGAAAAAATAAACGGCGCTCTCGAATCGATACTATATATGTCTCTTTAATTCTCGCAAGTGAAAGAAAGATACGATATCTGTGCGGAGCGAATAAAATTTTTAAGGAAAAAAATAATTGGAAAATATTAAAATATGACAAAACAATTTGTAAATTAAGTGCGAATAAATAAGATAAATTGTAAGCGATTAACGCCTCTCTCTTTACAGTTGCAATATAATTATCGCTATTTTAGATATGAAAATAAATCGAAACTGCGCAAGCCACGCGCGGTTATATTCGCGTGCGTTGCAATTCTTGGTTTGTCGATAAACATTCCGAGTAATCTTTTTTTCAGCTGGAAGAACAAGAAGCATCGGCAAACTTACCTATCGAGGATGGATCGAAAATGCTGGATCTGTTCCTCCTCCTTGGTTAAACGCGACAATCCTTCCAAAAAAAGATCAACCTATCCAAGTAAAACCACGCTCGCATTAATAAAAGCATGGACCTCGACGGACTGTATATATTTTTATTCAATCGATCGTGATTGTGAATAATTATTAGCTCAATTAATTTTAATTAATTTCAATTGAAATATCTCGACTTAATTTTCTGAAATTTCTTTGATTTTAATTAATTTGAATCTAATTCTCATTTGATCTTTCTTAATTTTTCCCTCCCCATTTTTCAATTCAAATTAATTGTATACAATTAAATTTTATTACAGTTTTCATAACATTTCTAGCTTAATTATTTAATTATTCTTGATTTAATATTATCAGGCGTCGATCTTTCGTTCAATCAAAATGTTCCTCAATACATCTTATTCGTCTTTATTTGCAAAATGACACGGACTTACGTCTTGGATCGTCAACACACTCGCAGTACAAGGCGACACGGCATCGCTGTTCTCGAAAAACACGCTGATCGTCTCGGCCACGTCACCTTGCTCCAGATGTTCCAGCATCGCGTCCTCGTCCTGGAGTAACATTCGCGCGAACAGTTTTATCAGCTGCTTGCTTTGCAGATTGTATATTCTCTTTACAGCGCCGGGCAGCAGCAATTTGCACCAGAGCACGATGTCGCCCTTAAAACCGTCTATATGGAAAATCAAACGGAAGAACAATTTTTCGATGTTATCTCTTCTCTTCCCGAATCTATTTTATCCAATATTCTTCGATATTCGATTACTTTTGGTAATTTTATCTACAAAATTTAAAAAAATTGGCCCTTTTCCGATATAAATATAATAGATAAATAAATTCTTTAAAGACAATTCTTTTTTAAACTATAAAGAAAAAGCGAAAAACACATAAATATAAAGCGAGACATCTTTCTAATATAAGATAAAAAAATATGCGAGAAAACTGGCACACGTACCAGAAATTTGTTTGTAGCCTAATTTGAGATCAGTGTTCCAGTAATTCAACATATACGCAGACGTTTTTCACATACACTCGACGATTTTATCTGTATTCAGTCTCACGCATAGATTTCGCATTTCGGAAAGACACATTAAATATCGAATAAAGTCGTCCATGAAAATAGGGAGAAGAAAGAAAAGAACGGTTGCTCTCTAATCTCTGTGCTATCGAAAAAAAGATTAAGATTGCGTAATCGAAAAAGTGATAAAAATTGCGAATTCGGTTAGTTTCTCTTATATCAACATCCGCTCCTTATCTAAATACTTACCTAATAACTGTTTTTTGCGTATGATAATAATTTTGCGAAATTGTGCTTTCTCAAACGATCGCTATAATATCTATAATTGTTTTTATAATTTTTATAGTTTTGTCCTACACTCTTACATAAAAAAATAAAATTATTATTATATCTCATATCTCTCTCACTCTATCCATATATATATATATATAATAAAATAATAAAATAATGTTTAATTGTACTCGAAAATATTACTCCTTTTTTTCTTTCTGTTCCTCCAGTACTTCTATTTTTACGATAACAATGAAAAGTGTTGTAACTGGGGGAAAATATTAAAATAAAATTTTTTTTTCAGCCGATTTCTAATAATGCAATAATCCGTTAATATACGAGCATAAAACCTTATTTCTTTACCATTGAATGATGCTTTCTACACGCGATCGATCAGTTTCGCGCGAGAAATTATCACCGGTACACTTTTGATCAAAAATGTACAATCATAAAATATTTCTCCATTAAAATATAAATGTAAAAAAAAAAAAAACATTGCATAATAAAAAGGTATCTTTCTCTTGATAAGGATAGATCAAACTTAATCGAAATACACGAAGACCTGCGCGTTCGGAATCACGGCGGTCCAATGGAATTCTTCTCATCATCGGCGAAAATAGAGCGGCGCGAGATTAGATCACAAAGTTATGCGGTTTCTAAGCCACACATGGTACGAGATCCATTATCGTGAACTGTCAATGTTGATTCGATGGAGCTTCACGGGGCCTTTGAATATGCGCGTAAAATTTTGCGCAGATACTCAAGATTCTCTCTCTTTCTCTTTCTCTCGCTTGTTCGAGCAAAACACGCAGATGATTGAGCACGCGATTCGTAAATAATGGTGCCTAAAAATAGAGAGCCGCCGGAAATCGAAATTCCAAGTCGCGGCAGCGATTTTGTGATCTCTTCTTCGTCGCGATTCAACCAGCTCTCTTGCCTTTCTTTCGCGAAGCATCGAAAAATTGCGAAAAATATCGAGTCGCCATAAAGCGAAAGCAGTGATGATTACAATCGCGTAGGCGCCGCGTTGATTAATTACTCCACGATCCGACACTATCATTATACTGCTTTATCGCAATCATCGGCTCTGAAACGCGCGAATTATCACGTATCGTTCCACGCGATACAGGAACCCTTCTCTTTTCTCTTTGTCTCTCCCGCTCTTTCGCGATGATCTTTTTGCAGCCGTGATTACGTCAGGTCACATTCGCGTTCACGAATACGTTCAGCGGAAAATAAATCGGTTCACGCCTCTTCTCTTCCATCGTTTCGACCGTGGTCGTAAAGCTAATCCCGTAAACTTCATTATCGAGACACCTCGCTCACAGCTGTCATATTTGCCGATCGTCTTCAAAGCGAAAAAAAAATATTTTTTTTAATGTACTCTGAAATGTAACATAACTTTTCGTAAAGAAATGCGAAACTGCGATTCGCAGACTCCTTCCTTAAGCTGTAGATCCTTTCTCACATTTACAGATTCCGGAGTAAAATCCAGAGATTTTCGAATGATGACAATCCTGATTAAAGTATTAAAAATGTTGTATATAATAAAATGTGCAGTATAATTGTATATATGCTGAGAATGCTTGTATTTTTAATTTGATTGTGAAACCAAGAAAAAAAAATATATTTTATACATACATAATCATATGCTGCATTTTATTGAATGCAACATTTTTAATATCGAAGCATTTTTTAATAACAAAAAAATTAAATTGTATAGCATATGTAAAATTTATATTTTTACTTTTCTGATATCATTACTTTTTTTTTCTCCTCTTAAGTGATATAGAATAAATATCGAAATATCTTCGCATCGCTCAGATAAATGGCATGGTAATACTCTCTACTTCCCAATCGTGCGAAAATGTCGTAATATCGCATCGCGATATCGTAATATCTATCGCGGACGGATATCGTAATTGCGCCGAAGCGCGAAAAACGCGATCATTCAGCTTTGCTGACGGACGACGACAAAGACGCCGAGGCGGAATCGTGATAAAGAGACCGCGGAGAGAACTTGGCGCGGGAGAAGAGATCTCGGGGGAGATGAAGGAGAAGACGGGAGGAGGAGATAGGTGAAGAGAAAGAAGTCAAGGAGAAAGAGAGGGGGAAGCAAGATAGTCTGGAGCCAAGCTGGCTAACGCGAGAAGGGGCTCGTCGCAACGCGACGAACACCCGCAAGAAGAGGCTCCTCTCGCGCGATTAGAGAGGTGGGGACGTCCGAGAGTTTATAAGAACACGAAGGCCTAGTCGTGCTAGGCCGAGAATCGATAGTTTGCAAAACCGAGCGATCGTCGCGAAGTGTGTACGAAAAATCGAGCAAAGAAAGAGAGAGAGAGAGAGAGAGAGAGGCAGAGAAAAAAAGGAGATAGAGAAAATATCCCATCCGTCCCATCGCATAAACGAAGACTTGAGTAATCGCCCCGGCAATGACTTAAAGTAATCGCGATCGTCTGCGAATCGAATACATATACGGTATAAGGACAGACTTATATAAGGCAACTGGTCTTTCTCTTTCGCGCTTCTATTCTTTCGGTCGTGCGTGTCGCGGACCATTGGGCGGAGAATCCTAATTGAAGGGAAAAAAGAAAAAAAAAAAACAGGAATTTAGCTAGCGACGTTTCGAGAAGAATCTCCTCAACCCCTTGCGACAACGAACGGTGAGTATCTCTTGAGCGAAAATCGCCCAAGTTCTGGCAAAACCAAAGTTTTCCATAAAGTAGTTAAAGAAAAAATCGTCGTAAGCTTAATCGATTAAGGAAATTACACAATTGAAAGAAATTTCGCGAATAATGAATCTTATTTATTAACGCGACAAGATTTCGTGGAATCAAACTAGCTGAGAAACTAAACTAGAGTTCTTTAAACAAAGTACTGACAAAATTACTGAAATTACTCTGTGGTAAACTATAATTATATTAATGTCAAATTAATATCCTTAATTAATGCAAAGTCACTCATCGGGAGTCATCATCTTCGAATATAAACGGCGCCGATAAAGAGTATCGCAAGTGCATTTTCGGGCATCTTCGGTACATTATAATCATCATCCGATGCTACTTTATCAGTAATATTTTTGAAATATTTCTTAATATTATACACAGTTGTAACTTCTCTGAACGATATATTATACAAGTTTTGTACACATCTGGATATCCTATAATTTATAAATTTCTACAAATAATTCTCCCGCAATCTTGCAATTGCGATGCTTTTCGTCGGTGCTGTTCAAAATTGGGGAATAAACTTTTATTAAGTTCGTTATTTGAATACAATCGTATTCATATCATTCATTACTCGCGCTCCATTCCTGTTAATCGTTCATTATTTATATTATGCATCATTATTCTTCATCAACTTCATTATTTCATTCGATAAGAGATCGCGACCTTCCGCTGGCTCCTACCTTATCAAAATAAGGGTATATAGGGTGTTTCATTAACTCCGTTACACGCCATTTTCTAGGAAATTATTAAAATTCTTTTTTTTTTCTTTTCTTCTCTCTATATATATTATTTTGATGAATTTTAAATAAATAGCACATCAAGTAAAATAAAAAATATTAATTTTATTTAAATTGATTATTTTTCTCGAATAAAATTTGCAACTATATATACTCGCGGTGTCAACATGATTTTCTATATTCGTGATTACGCGATAATGGTTTGATAAATATTGATCTAATTGATTCGAATAAAAAAAAAATATTTTCTTCATCCGCAATCAAAGCTTTATTTTTCGTTCGTTATTTGTTGTTTACAAATTTACGCGACCGCGACTGTTCTCTTCGCGATTTCGAAAGGGGAAATTCGCGGAAAAAAGCGCGGAAGAGATTATGAAAATTCTACGAACGATCCGAATAAAACACTTGTATAAGGCTAACAGTGCAATTTTGTCGAACTTTGACGAGATTTCGTGATATTTGCATTTTCTCTCTCTCTTTCTTCCTCCGTTTGCCCGTCCAGATAACCCCGTAAAAATCTTCCACTTAGCGGCTCCCGCGGTGGCCGAGTCCCATTCACGCGTGCTTGGGTGTGATTAATGGTTTCCTTGTATCCGATTCCGGTATCATATTTACTAACCGCCGCTCCGGGTCTCGCCCCTTCGCCTCCGAGAAAAGCGCGCGCACAACAGAGAGAGAGAGAGAGAGAGAGAGTGTGTGTGTGTATGACTGAATCTCTGTTTAAAAAAAAAAAAAAAGCCGAGTTCTCGCGAGGAAGAGCAATGTAACTCGCGAGAAGAAGATCGCAATAGAATGAGAAATAAAGTAATGCGAAAGGAGAGAGGGAAAG